GGAGCCTTCAGACCCCTGCTCTCCGGCGCTGACGGTGAGCGAGGCCGCCTGCCGTCTCCGTTTGTCTGTATTAACCCGAGGATTCACCCACAACTTCCTCTCGAGGGAAGTAGCAGGAAGGAAGGGAGAAATCATTATGAAATGACCTGAGAGCTGGAGGGGAGCTTGCGAGCGCTTCCAGTACTTTCACACACACACACACACACACACACACACCACACACACAGACACCATAGACACACAGACACAATCATACCCACCACACACACAGACACACACATAATCATACCCCCCCCACACACAGTCATACACAGACACACACAGACACTGAGACACACATAGACGCACACACACACACACACACCACACACACAGACACCATAGACACACAGACACAGTCATACCCACCACACACACAGACACACACATAATCATACCCCCCCCACACACAGTCATACGCAGACACACACATGGAAACACACACAGACACTGAGATACACATAGACGCACACACACCACACACACACAGACACACAGACACGGAGACACACACAGACACCACAGACACACAGACACAATCATACCCACCACAGACACGCACTTAATCATACCCACCACACATACCACACATAGTCATACACAGAGAGACACAGAAACAGAATATACCACACACCACAGACACACACCACTCAAACATACACACCACACACACACACCACCCAGACACACACACAATCATACCCACCACACACAGACACACACACAGAGACAAGCACCACACACACCACACAGACACAGAGACAGACACACACAAAAATACCCACCACACATACAGACACACAGACACAGACATACTAGTACATACCACATGCACACACACTACTTATACACACAGACACAGAGACATGCACCACACACACACACACACACACCACTTTCCTCCTTAGTTTACAGAAAAGAACATTTGAGCCCTAGGGTGCCGAGCGACTTGGGAAAGGTGCTCACTGTGCTAGATCCTGTAGTAGAGCCTTGAACAGGGAGGGGCTCGGCACTTAACTATGGAAAACTCCTCTCAGAGGGTGCGGTCACGGTTTGGTTCCCCGTCAGGGGGCCATGCCTGGGTTTTGGGCTCAATCCCCAGTGGGGGGCGTGCAGGAGGCAGCCGATGGATGATGCTCTCTCATCATTGATGTTTCTCTCTCTCCCTCCTCCCTTCCTCTCTGAAATCAAAATGAAAAGGTACTTGGTTTAGTTCCTCAGACAACTGTACAGGGTCTATTTTTCTCCAGTTAACTGTGTGTGTTGGGGGGACCCTAAGACTGTTTGTGAAAGTATATTTGTATCTTGTTTGGTGGATTCCTGCGGGCCCATTTGACCACATAGGGCTTTTTATTCCTCAAAATTTTTAAAAGAATAACTCGTTTTTTAAAACGTGCATGTTGTCTACCTGTTTTTATAAAAATGCCTTTCTCTAATATTGATCCCGATTCCTTTTTCCTGACCTTCTTTTAAAGAGGAGTAGGGATCCCAAGTCATTTGTAATAACCAAAACTGTACCAGGAAAAACTCGGAAAACTGGTTATTCGGTCTCCGTGGGTGGGAGAACACAATGGAGATTCAAGTGTAATGAAGGAGATATCTCAGATAAAAACCTGCTGCTGATACTTGTGTCTACCTGACAGTAACATCATCAATCCTGCTTTACCAGCCTAAACAAAACAATGAAGGGCAAAAATACACATTTCATTTGATTTTTCTATTTCACATTGTGAGTGAAGATAGAACTGAACTGCATTACGATTTAGTTGAGAAGTAGCACCTTGGAGAGCCCCGACCCCCCTTTATATTTGTGATCTTGAATGCTCCCTCGCTCTCCCAACTTTCCGGGCAAGGTGGATACAGTAGAGACCCACATTTGAAAGCCTGCCAAGCTTTAGAAATTACGCAATGACTGTTATTTCCTTCCTCTGAGTCTTAAACACACACAAAAACACAACACACACACATTTAAACCTCAGAGTCAGCTGCTTGCTAACCACAAATTTTCATACTTCACCTTTAAGACAGCCTTTCATCTGGACTCAGCGCAATTCCCTTGAACTCGTTTTTTTTTTCATGGCTTCCTTGAAAGTAAATCCCCCAGAGCTCTTTTTCTGTCTCCTTTCATTTCCTGCTGTCAGTCTTTCTCCAGTGTCCTATTTCTTTTCCCTCCCAGACCTCTTCCTTAGCAGTCCTGTCTGTTGTCAGGTTTAAATGTCTGTGTGTGGGACTCAGACCGATTTTTCCACTCACCTCTCTTCTCCAAGACTCAGAGATGGAATTTCAGGCTGCTTAAATAATGCTATCCAGGCAACAAATGCTTGCTGAGGGCCTACTGTGGGGCAGACATGGTGCTAGGTGCTGGGGGTAGGAAAATGAAACAGACACACTTCCTGTCCTAGAGGAACTCACAGAAATAAATAAAGTTCTAATAATTGAGAGAGACAGAGATAGATAGAGAAAACAGAGCTGTGAGTGCAATGACTAATATTTACGCTGTACTATGCCCTTTTGTAAATGCTTTATGCATATGAATGCATTTAAATAACCTTACAACAATACTGGGAGGCAAATGGTGGTGGTGAAACTGAAGCACAATAATTTGCCCAAGGCCACTCGGCTAGTAAATGGCAGAGCAGGATTCAAACTGAGCCAGTTTGGTGACATTTCCTGGACTCATGTATTGCGTTGCCCTGCCTTTGGTAAGAGTGTTGTCTCTGAATTCAATTCTTTAAAAAAAAATTTTTTTTTTATTGATTTCAGAGAAGAACATCACTGATTGGCTGCCTCCTGCATACCCCACACGGGGGGATTGAGCCTGCAACTCAGGCATATGCCCTGAAGGGGAATTGAACTGTGACCTCCTGATTCATAGGTCGAAGCTCAACCACTGAGCCATGCCGGCTAGGCTGAATTCTCGATCTACCATTTAATATCTGTAATCTTAAAACTTTGTAAGCCCCAGTTTCCTCATCTGTAAAATGGGGTTAATAATAGTACTTACTTCACATGGTTATTTTGAAGAGTAAAAGGAACCTAGCACATGCTTGACACTCAGCGTGCATTTAAAAAATGTTAGCTATCATTATCATCGTCATTATTATTCTTGTTGTTGAAATATAAAATACTGTATAATGGCCCTAGCCCATTTGGCTCAGTGGGTAGAGCATCAGCCTGTGAACTGAAGGTTCCCAGGTTCGATTCCAGTCAAGGGCACATGCCCGGGTTGTGGGCTTGATCCCCAGTAGGGGGCATGCAGGAAGCAGCGGGTCAATAATTCTCTCTCATCATTGATGTTTCTCTCTCTCCCTTCTCCCTTCCCTTCTGAAATCAATAAAAAAAATATTTTAAAATACTGTATAATGTACCTGAGGATGTCAAAAAAAAACTTACATTGAGATGACATGAGAGCAGAGTTTTGAAGGATTAGAGCTCTCACTGAATAAAAACTGCCTCTTTTCCTGAGAGCCTTGATCCTGTTAATGGTATCGTTTTTTTGTAATTACCAAGGCTCAGAGCTTAAGCTATTTTTAATTCCACTCTTTTCCTTTCTTTCCACATTTAGGTAGTTGCCACATCATGCTAATTGTGGGTCCTGCATTTATTTCTTGCCTTTACCACCTTACTCTTTTTATTTTCATTGCTGATAACCTAGTACAGGTTAATTTGCCTCTCTCATAACTAAAGCAGTAACCTATGGGAGACAACATGGTGTAGTGTAGCAGACCACAAGCTTTTGTACCATCCTGAGCTAGGCTTGAATCTCAGTTCTTTCATTTAGTCCATCTGATATCAAATGGAAGAGAAATAAATTTCAGCTCTAACAGTTACAAGGTGTGGAAACTTGAGCAAGTTAGTTCACTTCCTTAAGCTTCATTTTCCTCAAGGGAAATCTCATGAGACTTTTTAGTTTCTCTTTTATAAAACACAGTACTTTCTCATGACTTTTTTTTCTCTATTACCAAACTATAAACTCTTTTTCTCCCCTAGCATTGGGCCTACTCATTCAATAGTACCATTTCTTGGCTGAATGAGTGACTGGATATATGATCCTGAAAGAAGTGGGGGCCTTCTAATAGAACTCTGCTACCAACAAAAGAACACAGGCATCAGATAAAAAGGAGTGTGATCACATCCTGCCTCTTCTGTCTCTCCCCTTTGTTTTATGAACCTCATTATCTGAGGAGGAGAGCTCGTGACAGGTGCTTGTATTCTTAACAAAGAGGACAGCTGGGAAAGGTTCAGAGCAGAAGCTAGAATCAGAAAGTGTCTGTGGAGTCCGTGAAAACTGCAAGGTCATCAACTTTGATAAAATGATAGTGCTGATGTCTGTATTCCATTTACAGTTTTTAAAGTTATTCTATATCGAAAGATACCTATGAGGAAAATGCTCTTTAAATTCAAGGAAGAGTACTTTTATAAAAAAAATCCAAAATCATCAAAAATCCAACATTTCCTTCAGCAAATGTCTATTATGCCAGAGTTAATACTAGAAAGTGGAAGTGCAAGGACGAACAGGAGTTCAGAGTCTATCAAGGAGTCTATTAGACCAAAAAATAACTGTAACATATAATAAGCAATATAGCAGAGACAGGAACAGAAGTGTATGGAAACCCAGAGAAGAGTCATATTAGTCCTGTCTGGACTTAGGGAAAGCTTTGAGAAGACATGACATTCAAGATGGGTATTGAAAGGTGAGTAGAAGTTTGCTCACAGG